TTTTATATTACCCTAAAAATATGATTGGTGAATGTTGTCGATAAAATACATTCGGTAAAATTTTACAATGTTTAGATCATCCGCTTCCTGAAAGAGTGAAAAAGTGTGAAAAATCTTGGAACAATGATTCAATAAATTCAAGTTACTTATTTGATTAGCAGTAAATAGTGTGTACTGTATGACTCAATGACCATGACCTACTTATATTAATTACCTGATTAAGGAATCGTCTAAAGTCAGGTAGTAATTTATATGCCTCACGTGACTTTTACTTTACCAATTTATTATTTTATTATATTTTATTATATTTTATTATTAATCAACTTAAAAAAACTACTTGGCTTTAATTATTATGATGTCGCGTGTATCTACGTACGTATGAACTTTTAAGATATATTTTCAAGTACAGTACGTATCAAGTATTAAGGTATTAGGTTTTGTGACTCAAAATTTTATAATTATTTTTTAAATATATTTGATAAATAATACTAAGAATATAAAATTTGTTAAACAAAAATAACACAGATTTGTTTAGTTAGTGATGTGTATACATATATACAATTTTATACATATTCATGGCCAAAATGAGAATAATACAAATTTCATATCGTAAAATATCGTAAAATATTGGAAAAAAAATATAGTAAAGATAGTAAAATATAGTTAAGATGAGTAAAAATGATTCCATGAGAATACGGTTATACGGGTATTAAAACAATAAGTTAAAGTTTATAGATAACAAGTCCTTTTAACCGTGAATAAAAAAATTGCGGCTATTCAACAAATCGGCTCAAATTTTTTTGAGGTAACAAACTAAAATTAAAGCGGAACTCATCCGTATGTTACCATATTTAATTTTCAAACAACAAATATTACAAACTAAACAAAAAAAGTTAGCCTTAGTACGGGAAAAAATTATGTATGGATTAGCGTTAATGCTGTAATGAACGTATTTAACCTAATAAAAATGTCCTTATTAGGAATATCACAGTGCATTCAGAATCAATCACAAAATCACTATAATCACAATTGTGCACAATTGTGCGGATTGAATACTCCGCAATTTAATAAGAAAAAGGAAATTACCGAACATTCCATGTATTCTGTGACCATACAATCAATGATTTAAGATACTACGTACGGACGTAAAGTTTTTTCGTTATTAATAGTAATCACATAACTTTTTATTGTTCGTATGAGACCGTAGTCCGAATAGCGATAATAACAATGAAAGAGATAATAGTAATCATAGAGATAACTGGTAACTTCTGCCTTATTATACATAACCGAATAAAAAAAAATCCATATCATATTAATTAAACATAATCTTTAAATCCTTGTGACTTTTTTATGTTCTAGCGCGTATACGTATAATATAAACATACTATACATATTTTGCTTATTGTTTTTAGCACAAATTCTTTCTTAATTCATAAAGATAATCAAAGGTCATACCTCAAGTCACCAATTACCAACAAATTACCATCAATTACCATCAATTACTACCAATTGCCACCAATTGCCGCTCACGTTTTTTTTT